TACCAAAATATGTTACAAAGAAAAAACACGAAAAAAAAACTCATTAAAACTCAAATTCTTCCATATAATACATTGAATACACCTCAAAATCAGATCACCCCCAACTCTGTTGCATTCACACTAATACGATGGATCTCTTTTAAGATATAAAAGTAAAATAAACAAAAGAACAATCGAAAGAAACTAACAATTTTGAGCTTGGCCACTTCCTTGTTTAGCTTGTTGAACTCTTTCCGGATACCATCTAATTCATATTTACCTAAAAAAATAGAGATTTGATACCATCAATTAAAGCTCAATTTATTCTCAGGAGAGAAACAATGCGAAGCAAAAGAAAGAATATGTACCTTGACGCTATTCTTTGTCAAGCTTAATTATCTTATCAACAAGATCAACGCTTGCAAATCTCCGTCGCAGCGACTCTCGGGTAATCTCCGGATTTTCTCAAAATAGATCAACGTTCTCCAACATTATCTTGCTCTTGTCTGCGAATCAAAAGCAGAAACAAAGATTATAAATCACATAAGCTGACTAATTATAAACAGAGATGCAACCAACGTACTTGGAACTCTAGAGAAGAACAAGATTGGACTATCAGTGGCTTAGTTTCGCGTCTAGGGATTTTGTGATGTGTGTTACAAGTGATTTATAACATTCGGTAACACATCAAAAGAATCTATAATGCACGAGAAATCAAACCATCAGAGACTAACTACACTCATCATCAATCAAACACAACCATGATTCAATCTAAGATTGGTCAGAGAAATCAAACCATCACAGACTAACTACACTCATCATCAATGAAACACAACCATGATTCAATCTCCAGAAGTCTAGATCGACACAAACAACAATCGGAATCAACAACAACTCAAATCATCATTAAAACTATAAGAAATCGAAAACCATCTCAATTTAGAATACAAATCTGTAAAGGTGCAAGATCGAAACATCAATGCAGAGAGAGAATCTACCTGAGGAACATCAATGGGCTGATTGAGTTCTCCGGCTGTGATATCTTCAACATCAATGACTTGCGCTTCGAAGAGGATAGGGGATTTTCATAC